CACACACACACACACACACACACACACACACACACACACACACACACACACACACACACACACACACAGCCCTGTCCTCTGCTTTTCATTCACCTTCCTCTTTCATCCCCTTTCCCTCCCTCCTCCTTTAAACCTCCCCTGTCTCCTCTGTTTGGCCTGCGCGCTTCGCTGAGCTCTGATGAAGACACACTACGGAGCGTGGGCAGCAACGAGGACAATCTATTTCCCTGACTCCCCGCTCCTTCCCATCTTGGCTACCCGACCCCTCTTTCCTTCTCCTGCTGAGTAATTCCCTGTCTCCCTAACTGCATCCCGTATGTCACCCCTCCCACCTTTTCCACTTTTCACCTTTAACTCTGCACACTCTGCCCTCCCACATGCTGTCGGCAGGGTGCGTGTATCTGAGTGCTTTCTTTTTTTTTTTTCCTTGACGGGTGCTGCCTTGGCCTCTAATCTCTCGTCTGGTTTGATGTAATTAGAGCTAATGAAGATTCCCTGATCCTCTGAGCGGCGCATCCCCCTGGGCCACAACAGCGTGGAAAACTAGACAGAGCCAGGGAGCAGAGGAGCGATGATAAAAAAAGACACAGGCTCGTTTAGCACTGCTGATAGCTATGTGTTGTTTTCTGTTTGTCTGWGTGTGTGTGTGTGTGTGTGTGTGCGTGTTTATTTGTTTTAAAAGATTGATTCCCTGCTGATGCTGCAAGCAGCAATGCGATTACCTTAGCTCATGGAGAAGTGTGTGTGTGAATTTACATTTAGGTATGTGCACCGAGGGCTTGGCAGGGCACTTGCAGACTTAGGACCGGTTGCAGAAAGTAGTAGACAGGCATAATCCCTCATAGCTGTCCTCAACACTTATATACACAATGTTGCAACTCCTCTAAATCTGACTAGGCAGAGGTAGACACAGATCTGCACACACTCACATTTCTTGGCCATGGACAAAAAGGGAGAAAAAAACCTTGCTATGTAACCCCTGACATGTAACCCTTGACATTTCCCCACAGAGACAGCTCTTCTTCTCCCACCCACTGCTCCTCCCAATCTTCCCCAGTGGGGGTGACTTTGATGGCAGCGCTGAAAGGGTCTACTTACATCCCAAATCTCCATGCTACGTGATCGTCTGTGATCCAGCTGGGGGAAGAGAGAAACAGAGAGGGAGAGCGATGAGCAGGTCACAAAAGGGAAAGGGGAGAGCGTGAGCGGAAGAGAGGCTTGTGTGGCTGCAGAGGGGGGAAAGCTGTGCAGCTGCAGCTATTAATAAGCCGTGAGCCGAGAGAGAGAGAGAGTGAGAGAGTGAGAGAGAGAGTGAGAGAGAGAGAGAGAGAGACAGAGAGAGAGAGACAGAGAGAGAGAGAC